CGGGAAGTGGGTGGGGCAGGGGCGGGGCTAGGGCAGGACAGGGGCGGGGCTCCTCCCGTCCTCTTTTTTGCTTGCTGAAATATGGTAACCCTACACAGTATGTGGGGTGAAGGAACAGCTGAAGCTGCTGACATTGCCAGAAGAGGGGGAGGTTTGTCAAGGGGACAGTGTGTGGGGATCTCGGGGAGGGAGCTCTGGGAATGGTGACAGGGGGCCCATGAACAGGTGGCTCGAGTGTCAGCCAGGAGGTCTGGCTGGCGTTGCCTGGAGAGCAGGATGATTGAGGAAGGACTGTAGAGCCATAAGGAGGGAGGCTGAAGAGAGCTCAGCTTGGTGTCCCCAACTTCAGGAGCTCCCACATCAGCAGATCGTGGTGGGCTTGGGAGGGGAGAGATTTCTCAGTGTCTCCCAAAGGCATCCCAGCAGCAGGAGGTGACATCAGACAGACAGGTCACTGCACAATATGTAGGTATATCTGTAAATAATTACAAAGCTCAAGGCAGACTGACAGAAGGGGAAGATGTTTCGGTGCATACAACAATTTCTTTAATGCTTCCAGTTCCATGTTAGATCAGATTTGTTTTCAGAGTAAGAAATAAAATACATTATTTTCATTAACTCTAAGACTAAGCCTGATATGTGCCACTAAGTTATTTAGACACTGGAACATTCCCCGGGGTACAATCTGGGCTGATGGATGGTATGTCCCCTGAATTCTCCAAATTAGGATGCCTTTTACACTGCTTCACTGTGAGAGCAACAACTCCTGGTCTGCTCAGACACAGCCTCTAGCATGTAAATGACTCCCAGCTTTATGTGTGAGTGCTTAGCCAGGCACCCATGAATTACATTGCAGGACCACACCAGCAAACTCCCAATCCCAGACTTGTCCCCAGAAATGTGTGGCTTGTTCTGCGAAGCTCTCTCCTGGACAATACAAACTCATAGAAAGTCTGACATTTTATTAATAGAAGATGATGTGCACAAACCCTGCTATCTCAAATGGGAGTTCCCAAACACACTGGTTTAGATAAAACAATAAAAACCAGAATACTAACTATAGAAAGATAGATTTTAAATAATTACAAGTAATGAGGCATAAAAGTCAGAATTGGTTACAAAGAAATAAAAGTTAAAACGCAAACTAATACCTAACTTAACAAGCTAAGTGAACTTAAAGCAAAAGGGTCTCTCTCACCACATATTCTTCTGCAGACTGGCTGGATCTTTCAGCCAGGATCTCTTCCCAGTCTAATGATGCTTCCTTTGCCTTTCAAGAGTTGTCAGTGCCATGAGTAGAGATGAAGAGAGAGATGATTTGTGTTCCTCATTTTTATATCTTTTCCTGCTCTTTCAGAATCATTTCCAGCTGGGGTTCAGGAGACAGCAAGTCTGTGAGACAGGAACTTCCAGCTGTTCCTTTGCCAACATGTAACTTTCTTGCTCACACCTTTGTTCCTGCCAAAGAACGGCGGCTTAATCAGGTGATAGTTCATTTGATTATGCTGACACCTGGCTGAGGTGCTGCCTAGCCTTTTATTTCTGGAGAATTGGTTTGAAACTGTTTCCCAAAACTTGGAACATGTCTTACAAAGTAGAATTTTATAACATCACATATGATGTTGCCACACATATTTTATCAGGACAATAATGTTCATCACATTACAAGTTTTCAAATGATACCTCACAAGACATACTTAGTACAAAAATAATCATAGTCTTGTAAAAAGGGTGAACATAAGGATACAGGCTGTTACAGACACCTGATTGCCACTTCTCAAAGTGACACCACATAATAATTACCACAAGCAAGTGTGTACTCGGTGCATTTGCTACTTTCACCTCCCTCTCCTCCTGGTGATATGGAAACAAAGTTCTTTGTTAATCTCAATCCTAGAGGGAGTCAGAAATTTGTCATCAAAACTGTTTCTCATTGAAAAACAGTTTTCATCACAATGTTTTGAGAAACATGTGACTTTCGATGAAATTTCATTTGGGGGAAAACGGCCAAAATTGGAACAGAGTGTTTTGATTATATTGAAATGAAATGTTTTAACCCAAAATAGATTTTTTTTTTCTTTTTGGAATTTTGTTTCGGGAGAAATTTTTTGAATTTTTTTTTGTTTTGGTTCCATTTCAGAATGGAAAAAAAAATCAAAATTGTGGAATTTCCCATCAACTGAAAAATCCCGGTCATGCCTAGCTCTAGTCAATACATTTGTAAAGGGTGATATTCTACAACTGATTGATTTGTGACATTGAAAATAAACTAGCACAAAGAATCTCCAAACAGATCCTGGAGCACAAGGACCACAGCTAGTGTGTACAAAATGATTAGCACCCACCCAATCTGAATGTCAAAGATACTTTCAAGAGCACATAGGAGGTGCTGGAAGAGGTGTGTGAAGTAAACATGGCTCAAGTACTACCCAGGTTTGAAAGGAAGGGCTTGTCAACATTACAGAGCCTTTGCTGGTATAGCGATAAAGGCAAAGCCCCCTAGTGGAGATGCAGGGTATGCCCACGAAAGAAGTTCCACCAGCATAGCTACACTGTCTCCCCAAATGACAATAAATATGCTGATAAAAGTACTAGGTGGATGATCAACTGAAAATGCCCAGCCACCTCCAAGCATAAAAACATATTGGCTCAACGGAGATAAAATTGTTTCAAATGATGGGCTTCTGTACAAAGGACATGGCAGCTAATGGATGAGCCCATGGTTTGGGCAATAACCTTGTCCTCAGGAGATCTGGGTTCAAATCCCCACTCTGTGTGCCCCTGGGCAAGTTCCTTAGCCTCTCTGGTCCTGAGTTTCCCATCTATAAAATGGGGATAAAAGCACTGCCCTGCATTAGTGGGGTATGTAAGGATAAATGTATGTAAAGACAGTGAGGTGCTCAGATGGGGGCCAGATAAGAACCTTACACAGTATAATTACTCACAGAATGAACTGAGGTAGCCGTATTGGTCCCAGGGTATGAGAGACACAGTGTGGGAGGTCATATCTTTTATTGGACCAACCTTCTACTGGTGAAAGAGAAGATTTAGCGCTCCACAGAGCT